GGCTGATTTAGATAACAATGTGGGGTGCGATTTATGAGAAGGGAAATTTCACTCGATCGAGGAGTTTTTTTGGGAAAAAGTTAGTGGAGCTTCAATTTTTGGGGGTTTAACGATACAATTTTTAAAAATTAGATGGAAAAATTGATCGCTGTTACTGTTGTTACACAATACACATTTAAAAAAAAAAAATTTGAATCGAAAATCCAAATGTTCGAGTATCTCAAGTAGAATATCGTTATCGCTTTCGAGATAATACTATGACAATTAAAAGTCCAAACTTAGAGCTATTGGTACATCCATAATGTGTATCGTCAAAATCTACGTCACTATGAATTTCGATATTCATTGTGAAAAAAAGATTTAAAGCTTGTCGGGGCATTGGCTAAAGTAGGGTACCTTCAATAATTTTTGATTGATTTCCACATTTTTGGGAAAAAAAAGAGGTGCGGTTTCTCTCATTTTCCAGCATTCAATAGCATCTCCTATAATTATAATTAATACACATTATCTCGAAATGTAATCCAAATTTATGCTCCGTACCTTCAATACTCTTCGTGCCACTATGGATTATACAAACCCGTCTTACCGATAAATGTGTTCGTCCTGCGAAGAGATGATTATTTTTTTTATTAGTAGTGCGTTAAATTGAAACCATGAGTAATCAATTCTTAATTTTGTTGTTGGTATGGGTACTGATACAAAGAAATTTTAACGTTCAACCTGATTTTGAGTCACTCGAAGCCTTGTATGTGGTTTGAAAAAAAAGGATGAAATTTCACACTTCCTAAGTATACACTCGTACAAACTAACGGAAACAGATCTGTTGCTTCAATTAATATAAAAAAATCTCATATTATTAATCTTTTCAAACCCAACATTGTTCACAAAACGAACGAAAATCATCAAATTCCGCGCAACGAGCAACATCGATCCTCGTATAAGGTCCAATTTTCGGGCTACGCCGCTTTGATCACTCAAAAATTCGTACATACACGTGAGGGCTATGTATAACCCCTTGGTTACGCGCTCACACGTACACCCACCTGTTTGTGCGTACAGAACTAAAAATAGATCAACGGCGAAGGACATCGACTCGTGGAAAAGCCGATAACTTGGACGGCTCCCTCCGCATGCCTTACACGTATACCAATTTTTCCGTCACAGGTCTGAGCAAACACGAGCCCGCGCGTGCCCATGTGTACACGTAAGCGACGCGTGGAAATTATTACGCTACGCTCCCGCGATACCTCCATCCCCCCCCCTCGACTTTATACTTATATACGTACCTATACACGCACACAGCGTTTACTCATATATAAATTCGCAACAGTAGCCGTTAAGACTTTTTGGAACCAATGGAGCAGTTGCGAAGGAGACGATACACGGGTAGATACGTTTTTTGCCAGCCTAAAACTCTTCTGTAAAAAACTACCGTTGCACACAATTATTTACTACTTCTGGCTAAATGTCACTTTGGTTTTCCACTGCGACGCGGAGAGCTGTGCATACATTTGAACGTGCGCTTATTTTGGCTTGACGATGGCGCTTGGGCTGCGGCTCGTGTCGTCCGAACGTTGTCCTTAGTACATCAGGTGCAGGATACGTCAGGCTCGATGGTCTCGAGCATTGAAAACCTCGGCCATGAAAGTTTGCACGAAAATCTGCCAATTTTACGTGGTGAGTGATCCATGTGTCCTTTGTAACTACACGCGCGGCTGTACAATGAATTACCCGCGAACAAATCTTTGTTTCGAGACGTGCCCTCTGTACCTTTTCTCCAAATTCAAAATAGTGAAAATTTCACTATATTTGTGAAAGTGAACAAGATTTTCACTGGCGAAACAGTGAAAAACTAGGACCGCCTATTCGCGCCCAGTCGAGATATGAATTTCAATTCTAAATATTCATCGGTAATCCAATAAACGATCTTGATCCAAATGAAGACAATTGCACAACCCACACACATTATTTCAAGTGATACCAACAACAAGTTAATCAACTAATTTAAATAGTCGAACGTTAACTTGGCACAAGTGATAAATATTCACTGTTTTGCAGTAAAATTCACTATTTTACAGTGAGTAAATAATTTATAAGTATACAACTTTGAAATGGTAAAATCGCCTGTTTCACTATTAATAAAACGTATATTCTTTATTTTACAGCGAATATGCACTTTTTTGAAAAAGTTGTCACTATTTCAAATTTCGAGAGTACATAATATACAAATATATACCTACGCTTCGATCGAAACCTCGCATGTGATATACATGAAATACTTAATTTGCCGGCGGCACTTTTGGCCGCACGCGCATAGGTATATACAACTTAGTGACAGAAACTTCCCCGATGGCACCGCGGCAGGCGCGCTTAGCGTGGCCTTTCTTGAATTAACACTGGCACACGCGGCTTAATTCGCTTAATTAGCCGGATGACGATGAGACGCGCGTGAGCTCGTAATTTTCGTACACTTGTGCATCAGCCCCCCCCCCCTGTCCGTGCACATATATATGAACGGGTTACACGTGTACTCGGAGCTTTTTTTTTTTTTTTTATCGTTTCTAATCTATTACACGCGTCGTTGCGGATTAATTGCGTTTGACTCGATGCCGCGCGTTTTGATGGTTTCGCGCGTCCGTGCAATCAATGCCTTTACGCGTTTGGCTCGATGCCGAACATGTGTTTAGGTACCTATAATACAGAGTAAATTTATAATTGTGCCCCGATGTACATACCGATCCGGCAAATAAGCTCCGATGCTTGTATGTTCTTGCTGATACTTCGTTACGGATAATTATAGAAGAGGGTTTACGCGACGCGTGGATTGTTTGGATGGAAATATCCGCACGATGACTAGTATGTTCTTGAAAACGTAAGCCATTCGTCACTTGGAAGCTATTTGGTTCAATGTTCCTTTCCAGTTCCAACCGACGAATACTCGTGCTTTTGTATGAATCTTTTTGTATCGATTGCATTATACGTTTTCTCCGGTGCTCACAAGATATCGTCGCGGGGCTGGGTGCTCTCGAGTTTGAGGCTTTTAATGACTTCTATAGGGTGCCCAGCCCCTCGGACATCGTAACACCGACACACCAATACAAAATTAGAGGGACGTTTATTTATTTATTAATATAAAGAATCAACGGGCCATTTGCCCTTTACAATGCTGTAAAAAGCAGAGTCTTATAAACTATCGATTGGCACCCAGATTTATTGATTATAGATAATTTGACCCACGTCAGGACTTGGCTTACAAAAAATATATTCCCTCATATATGCCACGGTATACTCATGTTCTTACACGAAAGAATTATATACATCAATTCTTTTTCGCCCAACACCTTTTTTTTACATTTTCTTTTGTACCTCCCGTGAATAGTTTTATTAACCTCGTTTGTATATGTTTACCTATTAGTTCGCTAGTTACATGTTTGTTCATGGTTTTTCTAACGCTTTCTTTATTTTCTACCAATTCATCTTGCATCTGCTTATTACATGGCTCAAAAATTTTTTTTTTTTTTTTTTACTAATTCTGAACTACTAATGCTGCGCAACTACTTACGTATTATACCGAGGTGTTGTACATATCATTGCATAACGTGTGTTAAAATATTTACTCTATACAGATTAATTTTTTTAATTACATGTACATGGTCATGACTGGGGTTCAGATGAGTTATACTTTTTATCTTCAATACTTTTGATCTCTCACATTTTTTTACTTTATTTTTCTGATTCTGATGTGTACAATCGGAAGAGAAGGGGGTTTAGAATACATCATTGCCTGACTACTGGTATGCTCCTAAATTTTTCTGACATTTAAACTTTGATCTTTACTTTTTTCCCCACATTTTGTATATTTACTATGTTTTCTCAAAAATATCTTTTACTCCATCTTTAGATATTTGCCGATGCCTTATTAATCCAGTACTGTTTAGAGCTTTTCTCTGGAGAATTACTGCATCAAGTGTTACTACATAAAAGGCAGTTTTTAGATCGACGATGGCCACGTGTTCTTTCTTCTACTTCGCTTTTGTGATTTAGACATGTTTTCTAATACATAATAGAATTTATACATGGTCCGTTTTTGAATCCTGCCTGACTTACCTTTTTCTTCGACTTCATTGACTAGTCTTTCCTTCAAAATTTTCGGATGTATTTTTCACTCTGTTGGTAATGGTCAACTCGTAACTTTCATTTCTACAAAATACCTCGAATATTTCTTTCATTTTTCTAATTTGATATCATTATCTTGAAAAAATGCATCATCTCTAGTTTTCCATTAACATTACTAAATCTCGATTTCTTTTTTAACGTTTCCCAGTCTCCTTTCATTTGGATTTTGTTTATTCACCACATGTTTTCTCTATTTAGCTTTCCTCTTCTTGACCTAACAAGCTTCGCTCCGCTATTTTCTTCCACCAGATCTCCAATTCCTACATTCAATTCTTTCTTTCTTACACAACTGCCTCGTCTGCGATCTCCGTTTTGTTCCAGCCGAGCTTTTTTTTTTTTATAGTGCCTGTTATTTACCATAACAATGCAATCCATCACCGAGTTCCTCTTGCTCCTACTTGAGCTCATCTCACTAATCCCCTCCAGCCTAAGCCGTTCAATATCGCGAAACTTTTATCCTCAATCACTTGTATCATCTGAGCCTCCAGCTGAATTTAACTTCTCACACTGTTTGGCAAACAGTAGTAGTTATTTTTCCATAACATCACCGTACTTTCATGTCGAAACTGGTACATTGATCTACTTATCTCTATAGTGAAAAGAGAGTTTTAACCATTGTAATAACCAAGTCATTGTACGAAAACCTTTTTAATACCAATATTACACAAATCGTGACCGAATAGGGACATGGAGACTAGCCTTTAGACAATGATCGTGTCCACAAATTTTCACCTAAACCACTTACACGATTGCCCAATGCTGGTAGTGGATGAAAAAAAAAAAAAAAAAAAACTAACGAGCTGGGGGTCGACCGATTATTGCAGGGCGAGCTGTCGGACGGGTGCGTGAACGACGATGGATGCCTGGGTGGCAGCGACCTCGAGGGCGAGGGCAAACAGGTGCTGGTGGGAGTATGCGCGATGGCCAAGAAATCGCTGAGCAAACCGATGAAGGAGATACTCACGCGTCTCGAGGAATTCGAGTACATAAAAATCGTCGTCTTCGCCGAGGAGGTCATTTTGAAGGTAACTCGCGGCGTGTATGGTTTGTCTGGGCGTAAATGACTTTTTTCGCGCGTTGGTTGAAGGAACCGGTTGAAAACTGGCCGATCGTGGATTGCCTGATAAGCTTCCACAGCAAGGGTTTCCCCCTCGAGAAGGCGATACAGTACGCGAACCTCCGCAACCCCTTCATAATCAACAATCTTCCCATGCAGTACGACATTCAGGTATGACGTGCGCTTCGATCGTTGCTGTGAAAATTACTTTTTTTGTTTCGATAAATAGTTTTCTCTGCAGGACCGGAGAAAGGTCTACTCCATCCTCGAGTCGGAAGGAATCGAAATTCCCAGGTACGCGGTTCTCGACAGAGATTCGTCGGATCCGAAACGTAAGTCACGCTGTACACGTCGAGTGGCACAGTTTATTTTTTTTTCTTTCACATGGTGATTGGCCCGCGTGTGCGTGTATGCCTGTGCACGTCTTGTTGGTTGCATGATTGGTAACCCGATTATTATACAACGAAGCTTTGCTGCATGAAAGGTGATCCACGGAACATGGAGTTGAAAGATCGGTCGGATGACTGTTTTTGGGTTTAATTGGATTGGATTATTGGTTAAAACCTTTTTTTCCCCCTGACTACTGATGTATCTAACATTAACATCGCGACTGTGTGCTTGTCAATAAAAGAATTCTTCGTTCTAGTCCTCACTCGTGTTGTGTTGCGTTTGAATGTATTGATTGTGACTTTCGAAGACCACAGACTCATTTTCAGATCACGAGCTGGTCGAGTCGGAAGACCACGTGGAAGTCAATGGGGTCACGTTCAACAAGCCCTTCGTGGAGAAGCCCGTCTCTGCGGAAGACCACAACATCTACATTTACTATCCCACCTCCGCGGGCGGAGGCAGTCAGCGCTTGTTTAGAAAGGTATTGTTTGGATTTTTTAATTTTTTCCGTGGATACAAGGGTATATGATATGAACTACCAGTGGCTCAGTTGGAGCGTTTGCCTTCCACCTGGAGGGCTAGGGTTCGATCAATGCATTCGCGGCACCTCTGTCGGGGTTTTTTTTTCCACATGGTCCATTTACCGTGCCATCGCAGTTGGTAATAAAAAAAAGTCCAATTAGGTACCCAAAAGCCAAATAAATAACGAGACAAAGACAACTCACTTGGTATTAATCGTGAGAAAAAAAAAAAAAAAGTTTACTCGACGATTGTCGAAATCACTAATTTCATCCGAAACAGTTTCGTTTCACCAGCCATACAATAATTATACAATGCTATTGAGGTGAAATATATTTGCATTGGAGCATAAATCATTGCGTTTAATGCATCTGGCAACTTACTACTTCCGATGCAGTTAATCGTCGGTAATTGATGTAACGAATCGACCCGTTCATTAGAGGATTTGTCGACCGGTGGATATACGCAAACGAACATTCAATAAACAGAGTCATATCTGTCTCGACAAAAATAAACCACTAAAGTATCGTTTTCCCAGTAACGGGTGCAATGTAAAACAAAAAGGGTCGGAAAATCGAATGAAAATATGAAAGAAAAAAAAAAAAAAAAAAAAACCACAGAATTGAAATTTCTTTTATACACTACAAACATTACTACATTAGAAAATGCTACAAAAAAATTAAAAAAAAAAAAAAAATTGACGAGAGATGTAACGCTCCTCAGATCGGCAGCCGTAGCAGCGTGTACTCGCCCGAGTCGCGGGTGCGCAAGACCGGCTCGTACATCTACGAGGACTTCATGCCCACCGACGGCACCGACGTCAAGGTGTACACCGTGGGCCCGGACTACGCGCACGCCGAGGCGCGCAAGAGCCCGGCCCTCGACGGCAAGGTCGAGAGGGACTCCGAGGGCAAGGAGATCCGCTACCCCGTCATACTCAGCAACGCCGAGAAACTCATCAGCCGGAAGGTTTGCCTCGCGTTCAAGCAAACCGTCTGTGGATTCGACTTGCTCAGGTGAGTCCGGTTATTTGCTTTTGCGCGTCAATCGAGCCTCCAATGACATCATTTATACACCGAGTAGAGCCAACCGATCGATGACGCGGCGGCAGGAGCACACGATGCTATTTTCTACGCTTGATCCGATCGATGCATGTACGAGCCGATTTCCCTCTGCGCGTGAAAACAACAAAAGCGAGTCTCTGCCGATTTTTCACTTCCCTACGTACATCCGAGCGAATTGTAAAATTATCAATGGCACCCGATACCCTTCGAGTCTCGCGTTACAGCTCGCGGATAAGTTGACGCTCGCTTGATTATGCCGATTTTCATTGCAGAGCCAACGGCCAGTCGTTCGTCTGCGACGTGAACGGCTTCAGCTTCGTGAAAAACTCGAACAAGTACTACGACGATTGCGCCAAGATCCTCGGCAACATGATACTCAGGGAGCTCGCGCCCACGCTGCACATACCCTGGAGCGTGCCCTTCCAGCTCGACGACCCGCCGATCGTGCCCACCACCTTTGGCAAAATGTGAGTATACATGTCATGTACCTTTGCTCGTACAGCTTTTGGAACGGCTTACTTTCTTTTTTTCTCTCCCCCTTGAAGGATGGAGCTGCGCTGCGTCGTCGCCGTTATAAGACACGGGGACCGCACCCCCAAGCAGAAGATGAAGGTCGAGGTCCGGCATCCAAAGTACGCATCCTCCTTTCCTTCTCCGACTATGTTAGTAGTCGTAGACAAAAGTTAATACACACGGGGGCGTTATTTCTTGGCTGCAGGTTTTTCGAGATATTCGCAAAGTACGACGGGTACAAGCACGGCCACGTGAAGCTCAAGCGGCCCAAGCAGCTGCAGGAGATCCTCGACACGGCGCGCAGCCTCCTGTCTGAGATCCAGCATCGGGCCGCCGGCCCGGAACTTGAGGAGAAGCAGGGCAAGCTGGAACAGCTCAAGAGCGTCCTGGAAATGTGAGGCTTGGTAGCGTTTTGGGTGAAAATTGCCGGTGTTTTTTGGTGTTGACCTTGAGACTTTTTCCGCTGCAGGTACGGGCACTTTTCGGGTATCAATCGCAAGGTGCAGATGAAGTATCAGCCGCGAGGGAGACCCAGGGGTAGCTCCTCCGACGACGGTAACAGCAGCAGTACGTGTCGACGAGCTGTTTCGGGGGTTATCGGTGCTCTGTGGGGATAATCACTTGGAAATAATGTGCCTTTCTTCGTTATCGTGTTCGCAGATCGTCTGGGAGAGCCGTCGCTGGTCTTGATATTGAAGTGGGGCGGTGAGCTGACGCCAGCTGGTAGGATACAGGCCGAGGAGCTCGGCCGGATATTCCGGTGCATGTACCCAGGTGGTCAAGGTAGACACCTTAGTGGTTCGTATCTTAGGCTCCTTTCGCTTCTTTTGCTGACGAACAATACCTTGTTTATTTTATCGCGCCTGCAGACGATTGCAATATATTCAAAATATCGTACGATTTTTATAATATATAAATATTGTGTACTATTAGTATTTGTGTCACATTTAGACCTATTACATATATCTTGTATGTATTATATACATATATATGCCATTTATTGATTCTGCCAGTGTTTATAATATACATATACAAATAGGATTCGCAAGAACCGATGCTGGACTAATTGAGAGTTCGCAGGTTGTATTGGAATTAAATTAAGTTGTGACCTTTTTGTTTTGTGCAACCATGCGCGTGTTTCGTTAACGTGTATGGTACACACCTATTTTAAAAGTAATTTTACCGTTGCATCCTCTCGTTGTGGTTCGATCCTCAACTGTTACTACTATTATTACTATTATATTGTTATTGTTATACATATAGTTGATATTCGTTACTTGTCGTTGTTTTTTTATCATTGAATAATGTTGAGAGAGACGTCTAGCAAAGAAAGTGAGTCAAGTCAAATGCAATTGAAATTCTTTTGTGTTTGTTGATTTTTATTAATTTTTTGTTTTTTTTTTTTTGTTTTTTTTTCTTTTTTAATTTGTTTATTAGAGAAAAAGATGATGGAAATGTTTTATTCACCGCTTCGAGTATTTAATGTTTATAATCGCGAAACGCCTAAAAACTTTTTTCATATTTTTGATTAACAACTCAGTTTGAACACTTCCATCGTCTTTACACACTTTTATAGTTTTTTCTACTTTCACGGAAATACTTAAATTTATGTTGCGTGTTTTAGCATTAAAATTATTATTTTTTTTTTATTGTTTTCTTTAATTTATAAAAAAAAACGCTTTGGGTTGATTTTTACGTAGTATTTCCGAAAAAAAAAAACATCGTAAAGAACAAACGAGTTTTCAAGCAATTTCCATATAATTTGAAATGTCATTTCAGAGGAAGACTCAGAGATGTTACCAAACCACGGTAACTTTTTATTCAAAATTAATTGCTAGTTCGTAGTCATAGTTATGTGCAGTTACTGTATGTCAATGTTGTAAAAATATCCCTCGGCAATGTCAGAGCAGCAGAAACAAATTTAATTATTTCAAAGATACGTTTGTCGTACACTCTGTTTTCCTGTTATCCTGCTTGGTATTGCCTGAGCGTTGATACAACGGAAACTGTTGTCTCTTGTACACGAGGACACACGAGGCCGACCAAAAATGTAGTCGCTTTCCCCACCCTTTCAGATTCTTTTTTTTTCTTATTATTACTGATCGATTAATTAAGCTAACGTTTTTTTTGCTGTTTTGCAACTAATTCTGTTTTACGTAAAAAAAAAAAAAAAAAAATCATTATCATTTGTTTCGACCCATTGAACTGTATGTACTTTGATAGTGTGGCACATCATTTGAATGTCGTCTCTCACAAAACATTATCGATTTCTTACAAATAGTATATAAACGACAATTTTTCACGAAATCGCCTCTCATAATAGATAGAAACCGATCAAAAGTGATATATATTCATGATTCTTTTATGTGTTGATACATGTTTGTACACATTTGGTTACGATTTTTTATATTTTGCAAAAGTTTTTTGATTTGTTTATGTTTTGATGAACACCCTCGCTCGTACACTACACACACGCACTCAAGCAACGTTTCACTCGTGAACTTTGGTATTTTACCTTCAATGGTGCACAACGTGTTTTTTTTTCAACATTAAAAAAAAAAAAAATTGTTACAAAGTTGTAAAAACGTCGACAATGTCCACTGATATTTGTAAACACTTTTGATTCCTTAACTCGTTGATTTGCACTTAGATTTCATGTGAATGGTGATACAAATAATTCAATACATCATACCGAATTCAATACATATCTGGACTCGATATTGTTTTTATTGTTTTTTCATTCTGGCTTAGTTTAATGAAAATTGTAATCATTACCCCCATAGTCTAATAATTTTGTTATTTAGATTTAACAATTAATCATAGGTAAATTGTGGCCTGGCCCATTGTCATTATTACATTTTTTTTATATTCTTTTTTGTTAGAAAAAAAAAGGATTAAAGGAAGAAAGAAACACGAAAACTAGAATATTTTCTAAAATTTAAGTGATTTTGAGGCGTAATTATTACGATTACGTTGTATACACATTGTGCTGAATTTTAATTAAAATTATGTAGTGCCAGAAGTTACATGAAAAACTAAATGCTAATCTTGTTCATATTGTAGAATTTGACGTTATTCAACATCAGGTGTCAAGTAACTTCTCTTGGAAGCAAATTAGCCGAAAAAAGCTGCAGATACATTGTCCACGTTTTAAAAACATTTTTACAACTTTACTGCAACCTATATATGTATTATTAATCGTTTGTAAAAATTTTCAAAACGTTGTAAGCTATGGGAGGTACATAATGTACAAATGAAAGTCACAAAAGTCAATGAAACGTGTGACAAAAAAACACAAGTGCAGCTGACGCACACGTATATATTTGTAAAATCAATATACAAAAATCAAGCATCGTCTTCGATAAAAAAAAACACACACACATACACACACACCACCAAAACGCTCTAACGCACACCAGGAGCAGCGACTTCCTCGATGTACTAATGTTCGTATGTATCTATTGCGGATGCACCAGGTGAATACGCCGGCGCCCAAGGACTCGGCCTCTTGAGGCTGCACTCGACCTTCCGTCACGACTTGAAAATCTACGCGAGCGACGAGGGCAGGGTACAAATGACCGCAGCCGCCTTCGCCAAGGGTCTGCTGGCGCTCGAGGGCGAGCTCACGCCCATCCTCGTGCAGATGGTCAAGAGCGCCAACACCAACGGCCTACTCGACAACGACTGCGACAGCAGCAAGTATCAGAACATGTGAGTTTTTTTTTTATTATTTTTATTTTTATTTTTAATTGTAAATCATGCTTCAAGCATTGATTTTTGGCTGGTTTGTGGGGGTCGTTGCAGGGTGAAAAATCGGTTGCACGAGCTGATGCAACAGGACAAGGAGTTCACGAAGGAGGACAGGGAACAGATCAATCCGACCAACGCCTTGAGCATAAACGCAGCCTTGGATTTCGTGAAGAACCCGGTGAGGTGTTGCCAGCATGTGCACTTGCTCATACAGAAATTGATGGACATAGTGAGGCTGAAGAAGGACGATCCAAAAACGAAAGACGCCATACTGTATCACGGGGAAACTTGGGAGTTGATGGGCCGTCGGTGGGGAAAGATTGAGAAGGACTTTTACACCAAACAGAAGCGATTCGACATCTCGAAGATCCCCGACATCTACGACTGCATCAAGTACGATCTGCAGCACAACAATCACACGTTGCAGTTCGAGCACGCCGAGGAGCTTTACATATACTCCAAGTACTTGGCCGACATTGTTATTCCTCAGGTACACTTGAAACACACATTTGGCCAACTCATCCGAAAGATTATTTGACACGAGACGAAAACGAACGAATTTTGGTTTTTTTCAGGAATACGGTTTGACCGTACAAGAAAAGTTGACCATTGGCCAGGGCATTTGTACACCTCTGTTGAAAAAGATCCGGGCCGATCTCCAGAGAAACATCGAGGAACCCGGCGAAGAAACTGTAAACAGGCTGAATCCAAGGTGATATGGAACGACTAATTGTTAAGATGATACATTGCTCGTACCTTGTATCGTACACTTGTGCATTATTGACAATGATTATTTGCGCTCCGTTTAGATACTCGCACGGTGTATCGAGTCCGGGTAGGCACGTGCGAACAAGATTGTACTTTACGAGCGAAAGCCACGTGCACTCGCTGTTGACGGTTCTGCGTTACGGTGGCCTACTCGACGTGTTGAGCGACGAGCAGTGGAGACGAGCCATGGAGTACGTGAGTATGGTTTCCGAGCTCAACTACATGTCGCAGATAGTGGTGATGCTGTACGAAGATCCAACAAAGGACCCGAGCAGCGAGGAGCGATTCCACGTGGAGCTGCACTTCAGTCCCGGTGTGAACTGCTGTGTGCAAAAGAATTTACCGCCAGGGCCGGGCTTTAGGCCACACTCTCGAAACGAGAGCAGTCACAACCTTGTAAGTTTGTGAGTTCAACTGTTTGTAAGGGTATATTTTTTTTAACGGGATACCTCTTTTGTTTACTACTGAAGGGGGAAGCTGGTGCAGGTCAAGACAACACTTCGCAATGCAGTACACGCATCGAGGAAGAAGACACAGAACTTGGCGCCTTGGAGGATGACAGCGCAATGCCACTCGTTGAACAAGTAAGACGAAACAGTTGCATTGGACACTTTGCGAGCTCAAGTTCAACTTCTTGTGCACACACGTTTTAGCGCTGGGCGCAAAGTATAATCTTTTTACGCATTAATGTGAAAAGTAGCGACTTTGTTTCGTACTTGGATGTACAGTGTGCAAGAAAAACTTGATTCCAGCACCATACATGGAGAAATCACTTCGCAAACAAGTACTCGAAGTTGAACTTGATCCACTTGAGGATCCATGAGTGTCGGGCTTAAACGCACCATTTTTTTTTTTCTTTGCACATAATAGAAAATAATTGTTTAATGTACGCGATCGTTTTTCTCTGTAAGAGGAAACATTGTGTGTTTAAGGAGACGTCTCCACCGCCGATGGAAGTAGACACGTCCGAGGTGGACTCGACACTCGACAGCCCAACCACGACGAGTCGAGCCATCAACATGATGGACCTTGATCCGAATATAATGGACGAGCCTTACGACAGCGGGTTTCTGCAAAGTTCAGCACCTATTCCGATAAGGTTCGTAATTTTCATCGGATCGACGTCCTCTTGAGTTTGCACCAATTGATAGTTATATTTTTATCAGCGCGAGGACAGTAGCTGGACACGAGGCTGCAAGACTGGGCAGCCAATTGGCGGCGACTCAAAGGCTGCGGAGGGAAAGAGAGGTGGGCGTCGCGTACAACGAGCCTCGGGCGCGTAGCTACGACCACCAGAGGCAGGACAAACCAGAGAAGTGTAAGTACTTGGTTGACTTTACACATTCGGGAAAGTAGTAATCTTCGTGATAATTGAAATTGAATCAATGAATTTAAGGTTCAAGAGTAACTCGCAGTAAGAGAAAAAACTGATTACGAAGATATTGCTCTTGTATCGTTGTGATTTCTCAATATGCATGCAACCTGATGAGCATTTTCTTTACAAACGTCGTGTGAAAAATACCCTACGAGTCTAATTTTTATCTGAATACTCTGATGACTTATTTGTTTCGATAAAATACGTATCTGTCACACTTTTTTTTTTTTTCTTATGTGTCTAGGTTTGCACGCTCTTGTAATGGATACTTTTCTTACAAATTTATCTCTGTGCTATTTTCATTGCATCACAGTATACGAAGATACGATTTAATTTGCTGTTTTCGATTAAAAGTTGATGAAGTAGAAAATTAAAACAAACAATTTTTTTTTTTTTTTGAGGTTGCGCCAGAATAATGCAATCACAGGAGTATCAGTACGGTAATATGGTACCGAAAGATTATTTAACAACATACTTGTGTACCACATACCCAATTTGTTAAGTCACATCTATATATTTTTGTTAGGATTTCCTTGAAAATGATACATTATTCGTAATAAATTTCTAGAGAACTCGGAATAAAATACTAACAAAATGATTTTTTACAAATAACATAGGAAACAATTTTTTTACAAATTTCACAAGAAAGGGAAAAATGCATGGTCTTAAAAATCGCTTGCATACTTTAAACATGCTTATATGTACTATATACCAGATAATTTTATAAAAATATAACTTTTACTCATTATTGATCGCTGGTACCTACCATACAATTTGTTGTACCACACACGGCCACGTGTACACATAATTGTTTAATTGCATTATTACCGTGTCGTAGGAATGCAACACACGAGTAATACTTTCTTGTCTCTTTTCTTTCCTTTGTTTTTCGTGTCTCTTTCTGATGTATATAGCTGCGGACAAGCTGCAGTATCAGAGCTTGGACGCGGTCAACAAGGAAGGTACGTCACGCTCAAATCTGCCTCTTACAGCATTTTTATTTTATTTCAATTACCTTTTTTATTATTG